AAAAAGAAGTGTTAGGTATGAACTACCCCTTTTTGACAGTAAATTTTAAAGCCTAACTGTGACCACATAAATGCCAATATTGTTAGAAATTGTTTTATCAACACACTCGGTTAGCTTCTGTATTCTGTCTGCATAGATGCTGCATTCATTGAAACATAGTCCACACAAATAAAGGTGCAGGTTTTGTATAAAAATAGCAGATCAGGCAGTTATTAGGTATTTGATTGTTCCTGATTCATATTTAACACTTGTCCTGTTTGCATGCCTAAGCATATACTGCTTAACCTTTTATTTTCTGTATAGTTGCTCAAGGGATCTCATTTTCCTGTCAAACTTGTACAACCCTTGTCAACATTTCCTAATTACATTACCTCCGCCATCTTGAGAGTACACTAAGGCTGTCATTTTGTGATGATAAATGTGAAGATCTATTCCCACCCATCCAAGTCGTCTAACAACACTGACAAATCAGGATCAACTCTGACCCTGTGACTGCACATTATCCAACTCCACAGGGACTCACCCTTTCTGAAAAAAGAACAGATGATACTTAATAAATTCTTCTAACCCTTTTGAAAACACAATGCCAGCCACTGCATTACCTGTATTGGTTTATTACTTTTTATCAGCTGGCCACAACACTTTTGATCACCACTAGCTTTGTACAACTTGCATTCAGAGGACCTCTACCGAAATGGGGCAGTACCACCAAGGCTGTTTGAAGATCCAACACAAAGTGCAATGTATCAAACTGGAAGGCAACGTGTCTGAATCTGGGAAAAAAACAGACCCAGAAGAAAGATGAATGGACACTCTGGTGCATTAAAGAAGAACATTGTTGCATGTCTCTGCACAGAAAGGGAGGTTCTTAATACAAATTCTTTCTGTGTAATGATGGACATTTGTCCACCCCGGTCTTTATTTTTGGCTAACTATGCTCTTTAATTGGCATTTCCCTCTATATCTAATCTTGGCATTGGTGGCTGAAGACTGATCAGCCACCTGAATTGCAGTGTGGTCACCTGCCTTTAACGGGCTTTTCTGACGTGATTCCTACTTGTTTGCAACCCATGAAAAATCGTTTGTGTCACACTTCTGCGATACTCATGAAATATCACAGAAAAATTAAATTTATTGTTGACATTAGCACTCACTGGGATATGCATATTTTATTTTTTATTACAGATATTTCCATGCTTGAACCATTTTTAATGGAGCATATCTCAGTAGAAGTTAGCAATACATCAATGACTTTTTTGCTGTCACACTTCTGCGATACTCATGAAATATCACAGAAAAATTAAATTTATTGTTGACATTAGCACTCACTGGGATATGCATATTTTATTTTTTATTACAGATATTTCCATGCTTGAACCATTTTTAATGGAGCATATCTCAGTAGAAGTTAGCAATACATCAATGACTTTTTTGCCTTGGTCTTCACCAGCAAGTGCTTGAGCCTCACCGCCCAAGCCGCAGAAGGCAAAGGCGGGGACTGGGAGAATGAAGAGCCGCCCAGTGTGGGAGAACATCAGGTTCAAGACCATCTAAGGCACCTGAAGGTGCACAAGTCCATGGGACCCAATGAGATCCATCCGCGGGTCCT